TGGGAGAAGCAATGGCGCGATGGCCAACGAAATTTGCCCAGAGTTGAGATTGTTTGTGGTGGTGGTGGTGGCTGTTGCAGTACCACTCTTTTTGTCTTGTGCTACCAGCCACTGAGGCACTCAATAATTTTTGCCCTTCTGCTTTGCGTATTAAATAGTGGCACACTTGCCGCGACTTGCCACCCAAATGAATGCGAGCCGCATCAACAACACAGTTTGTGGTGGTGCGATTGCTGCTGGTGGGCCCAAATGCCACTGTCTCTTCACCAGTGTGCCTGTGTGTGCTGAATAGGAATTGAATTAAACCCATGCTGTTTGTATCTATTATACTTATACTTATCGTATTATCGTCACTGCTGCCAATAGCCAATTGAGTGCACATCTCTCAGTGTGCTTCTACTGTTGCTGCTGCTGCTCTCGTTGATAGTCTCTCAAGTCCGCTCGCTGCCAGTCCATCTCATTTTGCTCTTCTTCTTTCAGTGATCATTTTGATTTGTTCCCGTGAACAATTGCACTGAAGGGGAAGCATCACTGCAACCCATGCAATGCTAATGTTTCAGTGCCAGTGTTCTCTTGTTAGTCATTGAGCTACAGCAGTTGACTACTTTCCAACACAGGCACTACTCGTCACTTGCAGCGAATGATGCCACGGGAACTATTACTACTGCTTAGATTTAAGATTTGCGTGCTAAAAAACACTAACCGCATTGCTTTAGCACAGTCACCAACAGCAGTTTCTAAAGATGCAATAAATTGGCAATTGAAATTAGATCGCGTGGATTTGCTCACAAAAGTCAAAACTTGAAGCCTGGGTTTGGGAGCAAGGCCTTCATTTTTAGCAGTGGTAGTTTTGATGTGTTTTGGATGACAGTTGTAGAAAGTACTATATATTACAATAGGTTCCTTAACTGGCATCAACTTGACACCGTTTTTGTGCTTTACTTAAAAGTATTTTTCAGAAAAGTCAAAGCAAATTCAATTTTGTAATGTAGCTCAATCGACGTTGATAGTAAACATCTTTGCCAATAACCTTGCTATTCTTTGATTGCAAGTTTAAGTTTAATTTTAAATGTGCAAGTTTCTTCTTTTTATAAAAGTAATTAAACTGAGAACAACCCATGAATTGCATCGAAAAAACTAGAACATAAGTGAACTTTATTTTTTTGTTATTTTTATCATTTGAACTAAACTGCTTTTTAGACAAATGCACCAAAATTTACTGTGCTATTTTTACAATTTTAAACAAAAGTGTTTGCTTCATTTTCTATTCTATTGTTTAATTGTGAGTTGCCAATTTGTTTTGAACCTCACAATCAGACTAACGCAAGTTTTCTTGACTCAGTTTTGCTTTAAATTTTAAAATTAAATTAACTTTTTTGTTTGCTACAACGCAGAAGTGAAACTTCATTGTATTAATAAATTGTTTGCCTTGCTTTTTTATGCTCATCTGCTGCGTTTATTACTTTGATTAACTTTTGCCAGTACTTTCCACTTATTTCGTTAATATTCAGAGCATATATCGTTTACCGTTTTTTGCCACATATGTTTGCAAATTGCATTTAATTCAAAATGATTAATTTATAATAAGCTATTAATAAAAAGCAAACACGAGTACATGATCAAGTTATAAGTCATTAATTTTTCTCTAGTAAGGTAACTCTCTGTTTGCCAACAATCCGGGTCTGGTACACCGTACTTTAGTTTATGCGAAAGTTACCAAATGTACATGCAAAGCAAAATAGAAAGTTGAACTAGTAAAAAACGCTCTCTTCTTTATAAATCTCTCGGTCGATTTTCAAAAGAATGACTTAAAAAATAAGAAAAACTTTTTAATTGCCAGTTAATATTGACATACTTTAAAGTTGAATCTCAAAACTGCAAAGTTCAATACTGTCATTTGAGCTTACTTAAGCAGTACTCATTAGTATACAAATTAAACAAACATTGAATTAAACTACACAGAATCATTAGTTTTTTGCATCTTTCGGTGCAGTCCAAAGTTTGTTTAACATTCAGCTCCATTCTAGGAAATCACAAATCTCATCTTGGTTTTTCCTTGCCATAAGTTGTTTGTCTATTTTTAGTTTTGTACTCACTTTGTTATTTCAGTAATTACCAGTTTACCATTAGGCATTGTAATAACATTGTTTTTTGCTTGCTAATCAGTTTTTCAGCTGATAATAATGATTGAACGGAGAGATCAAACTATAAACTTTGCACAAGATGAACTCTGGTGATTCGTTTTTGTATTCAATAATTCATCTTTGTGTAAATACCTCAATTTTTAATTAAAATTATTTTAAAAATTNGGCATTGTAATAACATTGTTTTTTGCTTGCTAATCAGTTTTTCAGCTGATAATAATGATTGAACGGAGAGATCAAACTATAAACTTTGCACAAGATGAACTCTGGTGATTCGTTTTTGTATTCAATAATTCATCTTTGTGTAAATACCTCAATTTTTAATTAAAATTATTTTAAAAATTAATGGTTTTTAAAAACAGCTCATTTCTTTACATTGTTAGGTTTTAGCAAGCATAAATTAACACTTTAATTTTTTAGTTTAGCTATTTTATGCCAACTGATGCTAGCGCGTGCTGTTTTCCACAACACAGTTTGCATTTTTCACTTTGTAATTTAATCTATTGTCGCCTTTTTAAAGCATCTATCCAAGTTGCAACAGTGTTGATGGCCAAGTTCCAAGTGCTTGCTTGCAGACTGCAGCAAGGGCGCCATTGTTTTTTGCATATCGACTCAGCGGAACACTGCAACAACACTTTCACTCTTTTTTTCACTCTCGACATCATTCCTCTGTCATTAACTGCTGCGCTGTTCATTTTGGTGTGTTGCCCTGCTACCAAGTTTGTTAAACTTTTCTATTCTCTGTTTCTTATTCTTTGTGCTTTACTTTCATTTTTGCACTTCTTATTCTTTCTTTTGCCTCTATTGCTGGTGGTGTTCTCCTCCGGTGCAGCTTCTTGAAGCCAAGTAAATCGTCATTAGCGCGCTCGAATATTCCTCCGTTTTTGCTGTTTTCGCGACTAATGACTTGTCTGTCTGTGTGAGTGAATGTGTGTCTATGTGCCTGTCTATGTGTTTTCCTTAGTAGCCTTATTATGATCGTCATCAGCTGTATTTGCCGTAGAGCGTCAGGCGCGAGGTTCCTTCTTCGGACACTGCCACCATAGTTTAGTCCTCCTTATTGTACGGCACTTGATTGTACTACTACTTTGACTGCCACTTGTGATGGCCGATTCGTTAACGACGAGCGACGTTCTCTATCTACTTTTTCTCTCCCTTTTTCTACTTTTTCTAGTTAGTGAACACAGACTGCACACAAACTTTACAGCACATATTCACTTCTTGGCACTTACTTGATCAAGTGTATTGGCCCATTAATGGTCGTAAGAACCACCGCCAAATTGTACTACGAACGAGTACGAAGAAACTATGCAGAACAATTGAGTAATCAAATCAATGGCCAGCATCATTCTTATTTTGCTGCTGTCCAACAGTGGCAAAACACTGGCGGACATTTTGCCTTTCAATCTCAGAAATACTTCTACACCACACTGCAAACGACCAGCCGGCACATGTTTGACCGCGTCATTTGCAGCCATTGTTTCTAATTGGCAAACAATTCTCAGCCTAACTGACTTTAACTTTACTGTTGGCGTCTTTTGCCAATTAACCGCAAGTTTCCCTTTTCACTGGTTGAACCGTTTGATTCTGCAAATCAAGTTATAGTGCAGTGTATAATTTTGCTAAGCAAATCATTACACAAGTCTACATGAAATCTTAAACGCCAAAAAACCAACAGTTCTAGACTAATTTGAGGGCGCTGATTCTCTAAACAGTTTTCGAATAAAGTCGGCCGATTTCGAGTAACTGAATTTCAAAGTTACCGATCATGTAATTTCTGACCATTTTCAAAATGCAAATTAAAATATTGCTCAATTTTGTTAACAATAACTGTTTTGATACTTTTTTAAATGGGAGTTTGTTTAACTAAATCTTATATTCAAAATGACAAAAAGTACTTGTCACTATCACCTAATTACCGATGATTTGAGTCTTAATATAAACGGATTTTTCTAAAGGAGATTGCAAGCTACAAACAAAAAAATTATTCGAATTTCAAGTTTCCTTTTCTAGCCAATGTCTTTTTTCACTATGATCTTAAAACGCAAAAATAACCACATCAACATGAGTCACATTTGAGTCATAGATGACGATCTTAAATCTATTAATTTAAACAAAAATTTTTTTGGATTATTGTTCAGTCAGCTGTTTTAAGTACTCGGTTTTAATTTCAACGTAAACAAAAATTTATTTCATGTTAAAATGTGATTTTAAAAATGATCAGATTTGACTATATCTGAAACTTTCCTGGACGATATCTCTTAAACGGCCGACTATTTTTAAAAACTAAAAAGACATGTTTTTAGTACTCAAATCAAAGATATTATAACTGCTATAGCCAGGGCGTTTAAGATCTAAGTCTGCAAATTTGCAGACTTGTGTTATGAGATGCCGTTTTTTTAGTCAAACTAATGTCTAGTTTTATTGAGTCTCGGTTGTGTTGTGATTAAGCAGTCGCCGTTTCTTGGATGTAAAAACACTGAAAGAAAACTTCTCTGCACACATTTACTTTATTTTATTTTCATTTCTCAAGTGTGATTATCTTGGCATTATCTGAAGACTTTTTAATCATAGAATGCTACAAAATCAATTTTAATTTGCAAAACTTTTAATCTCCATTTAATCTTTATTTATTGGCTAAGATGTCGCAAGAAAGAATTTGCATTTGTACTTGTTTTGTGCAAAACAACTTGTTTTAATCTTCAGTATTATGCTGCTAAAAGTTTTGTTTTACAAACAAGTTATTTTTGCCATTTGTTTTTGTTGTGTTTTAAATGTAAAAATCGCAAATAATATTATTATCAACAACAATAAATAGTAACAACAAATGAAAACTGTTCCAAAACACGTGTTAACTCATTGTGACTCATCAAGGTGGTAAATGACCAGATAGGCGTTTTTGCCAAGCATTTCAGTGGCAGCACTCTTGGCAAGCTTCTTATCGACAACATCATCATCCAGTATGATCCACTGCTGATGTTGCTCACCTTCAGACTGCTTGTCACCTGGCTGATGGTGAGGTTGCTGTTGGTTGTACAGTGTGACGTAGTGACCATAGTTGATGCTGCCGTAGTGCAGTACGGCACTGAGCAGTTTGTATGACGTGCTCGAGGTAAGTTCTATGTGCTCGTCAATGCTCACTGGCTCGAGGTTTTTGCTGCCGTCAGGAAGGAAGCGCGTCAGGTGCACCAGCAGAACCTTAGGCGCTCGACAAACGGTCACACTTTTTGTGGCAGGGCGTCGCTGGGAGCACTGTTCGCAGAAGGGTGCGCAGTCATCGGCGAGTTTCTCTCCGGCAAAGTAGGCGTTCAGGCAGTCGGACAGCGTGATCACTGGCGGAGTGCTCTTACCGCTGAGAGTGAGCTTGTTTATGTCTAAGGTTTCCAACGAGTTGAGTCTGATCAGCTGCTCTTTCCCTTGCTGCTGAGCCACTGCTTTTTTGGCAATCAACGGCAACTGCAGCTGCCAAATGCAACTCCACGAGAGACTCTTGTGACCACAGGTCAGACAATTCAGCGTTGACTGCACTTGTCCCATCAGCTGACTCGACCAGAAGCTGTGGTCGATGTACTGCTCATGGTACGCCCACGCCTCTTCAGAAGTTTTCGGCTCCACTGCTTTTGGCCGTTCGCTGGTTTTTTTGCCCACCTCATTAGCCTCTTGGTGCAGCAGATCAAGAAGAATGGTGAAAAACTCATGCGCATCGGCCATTCGGTGGGTGGCAAAGTCTCGTTTGGCAGCGCGAAACTGTCCTATAAACTGCTCTGGTTTGTAAGAAACAAACGCCTGGTTGGGCACTTCAAGTGAAGATGACTTTGCTTGCATGGCAGAAAACAGCTCTGAAAGTGACTTGTGAAATGGACCCTGTTCTGAGTGTGTCATCAGGTACTGACGAAACGGCGGAAGGTTGAAGAGGACCTGCAGACAGGAGTTGGCGTAACAGGACAGTCCCAGGTTGATTAGACCGCAGTACCCGTAGGTGGTCGGCGGAGTGGCCGTCGTTTCAGTCGACTGTTTTGGCTCTTCCTTTTCTTTTTTCTCCTTTAGTTGCTCATTTTTTTCATGTTCACGGACTTTTGACTGTCCCTTTTCTTTTTCAGATTCTTTAACTATTAGTTTTTCACTCTCTTTCTCTTTTGGCTCTTCTTGCTTGTCTTCTTGCTTTTTTTCTGTAAACTGATCAGGAAAAGGGGGAGTTGAGAGTTTTGAAAGTATACCCCCTTGAAATTTGAACAGATTTTTTTCTAAGATCTCTTGGTTTTTCAAGGTATTTGGTTGAAGATTCTGGATGCCTTCGTTTCCATCACAATTAGTTATCTTCTCCTCAACTTCAACAGACTGATGTCCATTTTTGGCACTGCTTGAGTTATCAGGCATTTTGAAAGTTTATGAGAGTTGGAGGTGTGATACAAAAAACAAAGGCGTACAACTTGTCTCAAAACACACGTTAACAAACAAAAAATTAGAAATTTA